AGTAAGTTGAAAAGTATCTGTCAAGGAAAACTTATAGAATTCGTTTTGAACCGGATTTAACATTTTCGTCAACCATTTCGTTAGTTTGTGTGGGGGAACAACAAACAGTATAGGGCGTAAAGGATTTCGTCACTGAGGATAGATAACTTTTGTTTTTATAGTCACATTTAGTTATTACAACAATACCTGATCTCTTATCGGGTTCGAGAATGAACATGATAGATCTGTTCCGTAATTCTTTCAAAGATTTGTAATTCTGTGAATTGATAACGCTTCTTTTTCTTGTTTATGAACTATGGAATTAGTGAGAAATTACTACTAATTTAGCCTTTAATCAACTTTGTTTATCTGAAGATATTAGGTCAAGGGCGCTCAATGGACCACAGGTACTTTTGAGCCGAATATCAATACCCAAATAAGAAATTTTCGTGTGGAGCTGAAAAACTAAATCCAAAGGAAAGTGCCTATTTCTCGTGAACTGAAAATACAACTAAGGACAAATTAGTCACATGTTTATCTGGATCGCATGGAAATGAGTTTCTATGTATATAATTGGAACGAGGTTCAAGCAGTTTTTGCTTTGTTCTACCCTTTGTTTTACTGATAACATAACTAAAAAAACTGATGAATTTAATGTGGCAAACAAGAGAAATATGACATATATTGAGAAACGACCTTTTTCGTCTGTAGCCGAACATATCATAGAAACGGGTCACAAAACTAATGTTCAAACAACTTTCAAAGTTTTATAAAGAAACAGTCAGGGACCGATACTGAGATTTGTGGTAAGAACAGCCATACACAGTTTGAAAACACCTTTGTGTACGGCAACCACTTATTCTTACACTATACCTACCTTGGTAAGCTTTGTCTTCTCATCAAGATTAGGATGAAGTATGCCACTCTTCCTTTTTGACTTCATCGTTCTAGATTGTAATCCCCTATTATCTCAATTGTTCTTTTTTTCATCCCATCCTTCAGTTTTTATATAAATTGATATGACAAGTAAGTGTGTGATCAGATTGTTTGAAATGTATTGCACGAATACACCACATTGTTCGGATAAACCTTGCCTTCTAATTAAACTATCTGAATACATACATTTTCACTTCGACTGTCTGAGATAGCTGTGTTTAGGCAGATTAGTAATGATACTGCGTGGTGGTTGAGGATAAAATGAAAATTTGGAACGCAGCCGGACTCGAATCATGCGGCCACCGAGGACCTAATAGCTCAGTTGGTAGAGCATCGGGCTAAAAACCCGGTGGTCACTAGTTCGAAGCCGGCTCCGGTCCAAAGTTTCACTCCACCTTCAGTCATCACCTAGTATCTAAATAAATTTTGTCTGACTACTGGCAGTTCGCATGTTTCGAATACTATCGTACCCAGTACACTATCCAGTGTCTTCATGTTCACCTTCGATTCAACTCTATTTGGGGCTGGTGGACCATCGACCTTGAGGGTAGCATAAAACGTGAGTGGGTAGTCTTGTGCTTACGTGTGAACCACTCAAGTTAGGTACGCTACTACAACTGATTTAAGCTGAGATGTAGAATATTCCTTCCCTTCAGCTGAATTCACCTCAATACACAGTTGATCTGCTTGACCTCACTCTAACAGAATACCTATCCAATGTTATCCATCACTTTGGTCTCCATCTCCAGGTTTACATAAGTAAAGATATGTTGTTCAAGTAATCGTGATACTCAGTAGTATATTTCACATAGAAATGAATTTAGATGCCTCTACATTTCTTGTTGTTGAAAACAGAGTCATTTGAATAAATTAAGCCAAAGATGTAAAGAAATCTAGCAACTGCCGGTGATATGTAAAGTTTCGCCATTAAACTCTTCAATATGCCTTCAGGGTCAGCACTCTATATGAGGTCAGTTTCGACTTGCTTTACTACGAGGTGAGTGGTTTTCAGGAGTGGTAAATCCTGCTTGTTTATTAGGAATCAGTTTATACATAAAACAGCACAAATGAAATGTACGCTTAATGACCACTATTCTATGTACCAATACCATACTTACAAATCAACTTTCAACAAACCAGCTTGAAATGTACAATATGAAAGAGTGAAGTTTCTTAAAATCGAAGCCATTTAGGAATGCCAAAGTCAAGTAGAAATAGATTGGCAAAGATTCTAAATATGTTTACAGTACTCCTACATGAGTAAAATTTATAGGTTTTTGGGGATTTGATTTTATTGATTTCAAGTTGGTACTGATCACGGATAGTTCACTGCTTATTAGTGACTTGCTTGAAGATGAGATTTCCCGCAATTTGAATGAGAGGTCGTAACCGATGGGGTAAAATCAAGTGAGATATGAGGACGGTATTAGATGAACGTCAAGCTATATCGCAAACTGACAGAAGCAGAAAAATGTGGAGCTTAGGATCCCAACACAGAGGCTCAGTGGTAACGTACTCGCCATAGAGACTGAGGGTCTTAGGTTCGCGCTCTGGTGAAGTCGTGTATGTACACAGCGGAGTATTTCTTCAATAGGACAAAAAGCGCTTTTCAGCGCTCCCAGGTTTTCAATAGTTCTTCAACTGATGTCAGTCCATGATGAATCCCAAGCTGGTATTCGTTCATTCATGACCAGATGATTTTATGCTCTCTTGTTTTCAGCATTGTTTGTATTCTGTTGATCAAGTGCACAATAAAGTCATTAAAGTAATGAAGTAGATATGGAGGGGGTAATATTGACTAACTGTTGAAATCGGCAAAAAACGTTCGACGTAAATTTTGTTCTGAGTCACTGATGTATCTGCAATCTCAGATACTCGAAGCCACATCAGTTACCGCCAACTAGAAATGTCGTTACTAAACATGAGTTTTATTGGAAGTGTAGCGGCACATAATTCCCCACAATCAATAGCCTAGGGTTCCACAAGATTCAACATTGATGCCAACTTTCATAATTTTATCGGCCCCACTAAGCTGAACGCACACGGTCAAGTATCCAGACCATTTGGCACATTGTCGTGTTGCGTTGCACTGCTCATAATTGATCCTCTGGCCAGATAGTCGGAATGCTATTCTATTCCCATCTAACTACGCTATTATGTTCTTCCTTGGTCTCGCATTCGTGATTGGTTTCTGCGTTTATCAAGTTCGCACAAGAACAATTCCTAGATCATAAACACACCTGATAACATAAATACAATCTACAGAATTAATTGTCGAACTACAGTTTTATCTTTCTTGAAAAAAATACGAAATCAACTACAGTTATGCCAGAGTACATCCACAGAACTTCTAGTATGACCAACTTTCCAAGAAGTTTTGTTATCTTGTAAAAGTTTACCGCTTTAGTATAGTTCGTGGTGTTCATATGAAAACCAGTTGAAACTGAACATTGAATGCATGAGTTTGTTGTGGGTAGTTTCACAAATAGTATTCAAAAACTCAGTTACCTTTTCATTTTGCAATCATACCAATCTTGTGCTCGGATATACTTCTCTTACACTTGTTGAAATGGACCTTTCTATACAACGAAAGTCTTCTCAACTACAAGTATAGTCATATGTGATAATGCGACTTATCACTATCACAAAATGATAAAATATTCACAGACGTTATATGCTGAATATAGAAAAAGAATCCTAGCCATTTTCACAAACCACACTTAAATACTCTACGGTAACAACGGGACAAGTCGTAATCACGACATGTTAAAGTCTCACTCCACTAATTGTAATCGCATAAAAAAAGATAATATTTCTGTTACTTGGATCAGTAATAAGACGACAATTTTCTAAAGCTGCTATTCGGATTCGAACCAATGTCAATAAGAGAAATTCTTGTTTAGGAAGCTTTTCAATGTGGTGCTTCGTGCAAAAGTGAGAGGAATATTGAACCGGCTTAGTAATCAACATACCTTATATAATCTGTACATTCATTGGAAAATTCATAAATCCGCCCATAAGACTATTTTATATCAAGTGAAAACAGACGTAGGTTGTACTATAGTAGGCGATGCTGATCAGGATGGATATAAGTAGTATATGTTGAGAGGGCGGCAGAAATCATAGGGAATTATCACCAATGGGTAAAGATTCTGCCAAGAGAAACGCAAGAGACACTGTTATATCACTTGATATTTACTCCCAAGAAAAAGAACTATGTTGCCGTGCTTAAGCACAATTATATTTCTAAGTACATTCCTTTCCTGATAGAAAAAGCAAAAAAATAGGAAAAAACTAACCTTAGCTTCACAATGAAGCCGTATACCACAAAGTTGTACTTTCATTTATCAAGCTGTCAAGCCCACTTTCACTCACTAGTTAATTAATCTGAAGTTAACTGGTGAAAACCCACTCCAAGTTATGCTTAGATGAGAATCCAGCCTGAAAAAATGTTTCAACTTCACACACTAAAATATAAATGATGCAAATCCACCCGGTATATTTTGATGTTTAGACTATAAGACAAACGTTTTGTGTGACAGTCTATCGTACCACCCAACTGCTTGAACCGAAGTAGATGGAGCGGGATTCGAAATCAGGACCCAGTGTCTAAAAGTCTAGACACCAGTTATATACATCTTGTTGACCAGTATTGGAACCCAAGACACGCACTTACTCCCATTTAGGACTCGTCAGCTGGATGTACCTGCACCACAGCGAGTGACATTTTTCCTACTGAGATCCAAACGTAGGAACGACTCCTTAATACACCAAAGCGTTATCCACTAGGCCACTCGGGGACGAGAGCTACCTCTTGTGCAACAGGTATCAGTTAATATTCATTGGTACTTGTAATTTCGCGTTGTTATGCTGGGTCGAATTGCTCAACTTCTGTTAGTATACGGACTCCCATGAGAATGCCTCGATACTCTCGAATATTCACCCGCATCTGCATAGGAGCCCATCTGTCAACAGAGGTCGAGTAGTTCGACCTTATATAGCAACTGGAAATTACAAGTACCAAACAGCTCCAGATATGAGTAGTACACAATCACATAACTAACAACCAAATACACACAAGAAGTCAGCTTGATTATCGTTCTATTGTGACAAAGTAACACAAGGTAAATAAGCTAGACTCAAATAAAACACTTTGTGAGAACGAGAGAAAAAGAGGAAAAACATAGTTCACAGGGGAGAAATTTACTGAAAAGTTGAGTGATTATTCATTGAGGAAAAGATAATGACTAGAAGTATAATATAAGCATCATATTCAACATGGAAGTTAGATGATTATTTTTAACTACAATTCTACTATTGCTTCTTAGCCTTTTTCAAGTTATTAGAACGATTTATTACAACACGTGTATGACTAGATGCAGTATTTCTAGAAAAAAATACAGCAGAAAACAAGAAAATAAGTTGGATAATAGCAGCTAAAATTAAAAACCAACGTATAAATATGTCAACGATGTCATCTTCTGGTGGAGAAGGAAACGATTGTTCATCAACAGACATCGATGAATTTCAATTGACTTCGAAGTAAATCCCAGGTGACAATAGTTTAATAGGCATAAATGCAAAGGATTTTAACCATTAGACATGACTGCCTGACTCAGATGATATGATAGCTTCCTAAAATAAGCAAAAGATGCAAATATTATGAAAGTAATACTACAAGTAGGGTTACAGTCCTTCAATTCAAAAATGATGGAGCACTCATAAAATAAATTGCTCAACAAGATGCTTGGTTAGTTATGCATATTTTGCACTCTTTATGAACCCCCAATGCACCTAAATCCTGAGACGCTGAACAGATGGATTTTCAATAAAGTAAGGACTACGTGATTGTGTCACAGCATAACGATACCATAGTCGTTAACTAGACTGACTTCCTAAAGATTCAATAACGACATTTCAGGCTCTAGAAAGCTGCTCACACTTGGGGGTGTAAAAAGGAAACGGTGTAGGCTCTGGACACATTTTACTCCAAAATAGCTTATAATCTAATACTAAGCCAAGGAATAATAAATCAACAACGAAACCATGAACCACATGTCATTACCTTCCTCATGAAAAGGTTCCATACAGTATGAAAAACCTAAATATTATCGGAAATTCAAACAATCGACAACAGTAAAAATCGAAGACCACTCAGCATCCTTTGGGACATTTATGCAGTAGGCTATGAGTCAGCTTTATTCTGTGACTTCTAATGATATTACTTGGCTGCCCAAACCTCGGTAGGTGAAGTGATGTTCGAGCCCACAATTTCGATCAACGTTTTTCGTGAGAACGTGTTCCAAAGACATGCTGTCTTAGCAAACGAAGACACTGAGGGTGGTTCAAAGACCCTACCTGAGTTCAGGGAGTAGAAAACCCACCAGAATATCTATAACTGAAGCTCTAAATATTTTCTACTACATCATTAACTGGTACCTGGAAATGTCACCTGGAGAAATCTGATAACTTCCCTTTTGACTCGTTACCTTTTGTTAGCAATATTTCAACGACTCAAAAAATAAAAAATACACCAAATACCTCAAAAGTGAAAGCATGACATGATATAAAAAACTGGATTTCCGTTGCGAGAAAGGCTGTCAAGTTTGATTGATGCATCACGACTATGCACAAGAGAAGGCAACCGAATAAAACATTATTCCGTACCAAAGATGTAGTTAAAACCCCGTTATTTTTTTTGAAACAGGTGGACTGGTAGACAGACAACTCACTTCAAGACTTTACACAGAATTGTACCACTAAGTGAAGTAGTCAAAGCGTTTACTAATTTCACTCACTATTTTTAGACGCAGCATGAGTCCTAGAGCAACCAATCACAATTTGAAGGTGGGATTCACCTCCCAGGTTGCACCCTAACGCGTTTAGAAGACTACCAGGGAAATACCATCTAACTGCCACAAGTTGACTTAGCAACCTCCTGCGGAGAAACTAATCTTTGTGAAATTAGACGAGAGAGACACCTACATAAGTATGTCCGTAAGTTAAGTGAAAATGGGCTAGGTGAATACACTTGATAGACATAATTTGATATCACCCGATAGCTCATCGTAGGATATAACACGACCATGTGTTGGAACATGAATATGTTCCCAAACCCCTTCAAGAGCGGGGGGGATATGCTAAATATACACTAGTGCAGACCCGAAACCTTGATTATCTCGAGCTACGGGTTGTAAAATAGTAAACACTGTCAAACTCATTCACATGTGGTTATTACGTGAAGATGTCTAGTTCTTATGAGCTGGGATGATCGGCGGTCTAAACCAATTTGACAAAACTGCCTTCAATTTTCATACACATTTGATGTTCTCATCTTCGAACCGAGAAAAAAAGACTTCATAGCTAGTCGTTTTCTGCATCTATTAGATGCAGATATACACGTAACTAGAATAAAACATACGATTTCAAGGATATAGTCCGAGAATAACGGCAATTCATTGATTAACTCCGAAAATGGCTTATAGCAATGTGATTCATTTACGTTTACTGTAAACTTGATGTTAGTGAACAACAAGTGAGACAGTGTCCCTACGTTTGAAATTAATGCTGAACAGAAACAAGTGATTATACGAAGTGATTAATGTTGTCGGTACGGAATTCTGTAGGCTCTCTAAGATGCCTTTTCGACCAACATGGCTCAGAAACATGAGTGTTAAAGTTGCCCCAAATTGAGTATATTTGAACGTGTTGCTTCTTTTGGCAAAGATGACAGCTTTTAGTCAAAGTCATCCCTTGCACATTCCAAACTGCAGTTGTTGGACACGTAGATAGAGAGCATAGAAAGGCATTCACGAATACTACAGCTTTTTCTAGTTATAACTGACTCATCCAGCTGAATATCACAGAGCTCAATTGAGTAGTATGTAGTGCACCTTCCAGGCACCAAAATACAACTAGGGCTAAAATATATACATTAAATTAAATTAACTAAATAAACCTCTAGCTCCCATCCGGATGCTTTAGGTGTTTTAAGTTTTGTTTTAACGAGCATGCATTCGAGCAGGCTTCGGCGCCATTTTGCGCTCACTTTGTGCTGGTTAGCATGCACGTACTCAGTCATACTAGCCAGATAAGCTGAACAAACTTTTCCCTATTCATTACTATTACATTTATTCTAAATAAATATATTACTTCTTCAAATATATTCCTGAAACCAGTTCTTTTGATTTGTGTTTCGTTATCAATACTTACACGTTAGGTAAGGTACTGGTTAAGCAGGTGCTAGAGTAAGTACATCAAGTTAAGTAGGGTTGGTCAAACGTTACGAAATACTAACACACACCCCTACAAGGACACCTTTTCTAGGACTTAATGCTATACAAAAACCAGCGAGGAAGACCATGTCAACAAAGCCACCCACAGATGATTAGCCAGTCAGTTGATTTCAATGTGGAATCTGATATCAATGCGTACCGACCCAATTTGCCACACTTCACATTAGCACATCAAAATACAAGGCAACATGATGAAAGACATAGGAATATAGAAACCAAATAGCCAAAAGTCATAAAAACAGATGAAGGGGAGGCAAGACGATAATGGAGTGCGATACCACCAGGATGAAGATAAGTGCATGAAAGTACAACGGTGATTGATTTTTAGCTATCGTCGAGTCTCCAACCATCGACTTCGGTTGTCACGCCGAGGTTAATATAGTTCAAATTGACAGTCATAGGATGGGTCAACCGACGCCACGTACTAGCCTATCCACCTTTGATCTTTTTTCAGTTAACAAGGAAAAGGTGGAAGAACATGGGTTAACCTCTTACTATGGTAAACTTTTTCATGGGTGTCTCTATAAGCGTTTTCGTTTACAATTTTCCATTTTACTCAACAAATTAAGTCTTAATTTTTGGATCCAACTCTACGCAATAATTACTCGTAAGTGTAGCTACTCTTCGCATACCAGAAGAGAAAAATAGCTACACCCTTAACAAGTGCTCAATCACAAGGATATCCACAGACAGAAACCTAGGACTAAACTCCTCTGACACACTGGATACTAGTAGTAACTATAGGTGAATGACAGTAAAGACGAACGTCACCATGCACTTTCTAGGAAGGCAGTTTGGAGAGCTAACTCCGGAATCATTCCGAATGGTAATTAAAATCTGTTAGACTACACCTAGGTATTCTACATGAAAGCTCCCCACTCTACAATAGAGAAAGGCAAGTACTCTCGAGAAGGTACAAAGAAGGGCCGCAAGGTCGGTTGTCGGACTAACAGGCAAGAAATACACGCAATGCCTTAGGCAACCTAGCTGATTCACAGTAAGCCATCGAAGGGAAAGAAGTGACCTAATAACAGTCAAAAAGATCACTCACCAAGTGGACCACCCAAATAGGTCAATATTATCGACCAAAAACCGACAGTCCCACAAAACCCCACCTAATACCCCACGATAGGGCGAAAATAAGCGTGAGGTTAGACTTCTTAGTGCATAAAGTGTAACTTATGGAACGCTCTGTCGAAGTAGCCACAGCTACACCAAACGACTGCTGGATAAGTACGTGGGCGTAAATGGCTTACCACGAACATCTGCCGGTAGTAACTGAGAGAATTCCCAACCACCCCTGTATTTTCCAACCCTAGTACTTGCAACAAGACCCGTCTCTTCTCCATTTTATCACCAGTAACACTTACTTTTCCAGAAGTACTTCTCATTCCTTTTTTCCCGTTCCCCACTCCCCCTATCACTGGCACTACTCTTTAAATAACGCATAATACTTACTTGAAGGTGTCTATAAAAGCAGGAATTGCAAAAGGGTAATTGATCTTATCAGTACTTCCATTTCTCCCTCAAACAAACCAAGCTACAATTTCCGAGAAAAAAATACCTTCAAATAGATAATCACTGCCACCAAAGCTACAAGCAGGTAAATTATTAAGACTTCCGCGACCAACGAAGAAGCTTGACAGAACCAAGTTTCAAGACCTAGAAATGAGAACACACAAACTGCATGTTTACTTTGTTCGTACTAATGACGTTGGAAGTGACATCCAAGCTATGTTGACAGCATTTACTGACACGTCTACATAAACACTGTGAATACCCAATGAGTTAATATGTTTCCTTTCATCAGAATTCCATGAAACTTACTGTCATGGATACGGCGGATGAAGACATCAAGTATATCCTGCAAAGGAGCAAAAAGGACATCGGAATTCCCAAGCGACCTTGTCGGTATTGTTGTTGTGCATAACTTTACGGTATTATTGTGTCCAGAAAAGTCAGATGTTAGACAAACCCATAAGCAGAAGCGATATAAGTTGCTTCCTGCAGTTGACATAACGCCGAAACTTTGAATAAGGAGTCTATCTTAACCCATTACTTTATTTCAAGAGACCAGTAAATTCACTGAAGAAACAGAAAATTAAGACGCTACCAATGTCTCAAAGTGACACCTTTTTACAATATTCAGCTCTACGATATCCCTCATTACATTTACGCATCCCATAAGCGTTCGCTCAGCGTTTATGTTGATTGGGCAACATGGACGCACTAAGATAAATTATTAGTAACCCCTCATCCTGGAAGACAGCGAAAAGATTTAATCGCCACCTACTTATAGATTAATCACCTTTAAGGTGCTACTACTCCACAAGGAACACTGAGACATTGGTAATCATATAAGTTCGCAACAACCTTGAAGTAGCGACTACCACCGAAGATTCCGCTTAATATCCAGTTTCTGTTTTTTGGAACTTGGAGAAGTCGATTGAAATTTTACCACTCGCTTTTATATGCTGCGAGCCAAATGAAGGTCTTTAAGAGACTACGATGCTCGATATTCAGTCACTTATCAGCTATATCTCTGGTAAACCCAACCAGTGTCTTGGTGTTGGTTAAATTGCCAGTAGATATGATTTGTGCTACGTGTGTGGTGCAGATGAGTTTTTAGTGACAAGTAGTGGCCATAAATAAAAAGCCTAAAGTTCTGCGAAGCCCAAAATTATCGCCTGCCCTCATTATTTCTGACGAACTTTTCAAGTTGAAGGCATTCGGTCGAGCGTCCACATCATTTAGGACGCTGTCGTGCTAAATCGCTTTTCTCGTAAGTGATTCCCTGGTCATGTAGTTAACTCGTACTGCCATTTAGGTATGGTTTATCAGATATGCCATCCCTGCTTAGTTGCTCTTTCGTGTTCCTTCTTGATCTCGCACTGGTTGGTACTCAGCAAGTACACATAACTAATGATTGGCCTCTGAGTCAATCAAGTTCAACTAAGAACAGTTCGTAAATGTTCATTAAATGCAAATATCCCAGACATCTCTTTGGGTCTGTCGTGGAAGAAGGATAAAGATGTATGTAATCAAACAGATAGGAAGAAAGGTGAAAAAGTGTGAAAACTAAAATCAGAGGAAAAATCTAGGCAGATTCGAAGAAGGGAAAGAAAACATTTATACGCCGAATTTAAATGAATACAGCTAAACCTCAAATCTTTGGATAGTTAGGAAGAAGTGTAAACAACGGGAAGGGCAGTAGAAAAGAAGCAGTATTGCTACTCATGGTGGTATGGGAACTAAAGAAATAACGTGTCTAATGAATCGTGTCCATAATAATAGCCGCAATGGAAGGCAGTCGATACGGACGCAGAAGAGTGGTGAATTGTCGTATAACCAGTCATCTGCTTTAAGTTAACCCACATCGCGACCCAATGGACCAGGTTTTGCGCCACTGCGTTGTGGTCCGACCATTTCTTGAAACCACCGACAAATGGAACGTTGGCTACCTAAGCAAGCGGTCTGAAAAATGGTGCAGAAAAACTTATTAAGGTCATGGTAAAGAGAGTACTCTTGCATATTCCTTTTGAATAAACAGATGAAGTTTGGGGTGTTGATTTTCCCAAGCTTGAAGCTAAAACTTCCATCGTGACAGTGTGTAGTTTCTGCTTGAGATGATGAAACGTTTGTGATGGAAAGTATGCACAAACTGTTTACCTACTGCACTCCATTGATGATTCCAGAGCTGTATAATTCGTGCATGTTAATCCATTCCACATCAGAAACTCATAATCTTGATGAATATTACTACTGAGAGTCAAATATCTTCACTTTTCGAACTCCGACATCCAGAAGCAATAAACTTGTTTGAATGAGCCAAGTGTCCGCCGTTTAGAGTGGTCGTGACAGCCTTGCGGTCGGTGAGTGTTGCACTTTGCTGGTCGCTTTTATAATGACTAAATCGTAGATTCAGTTAATTAAGAAGTCTTAGTCCAGTGAATATCCTTTATTTCTGTTTGTTGTAGTTAGGTATTATGAATGCAGTAAAGCCGGTTACCTCCCGTGAAGGGTAGTCTCAGGCAAGGTCTTTTCTTTAAATAATTAATTCTTGATCGCAACCAAGCCAATATTTAGAACTGAATTAACTTTCCACTACGAGAAAAAAGACAAGGCGGCAGGCAGAGAAGGAAGCGAAAATTCCAACAAGGAGAGTGCTCTCTGTGTTCGTGTTTCTCACTACTTTACATTCCTTGTTATGGACGACATCTAGGAAACCTATGGAGTTCTTATCGAGATCTGGAAAAATCACTGGGTCGGAAACCTGGAGGCCACACCATGCCGCTTATTTGCCACATTCAACAAGGTTAGAGGTGAGAGATCTAGCCACCGGAAGACATTTTTGACGTCACCAACTTCTCATTTCCTGCCTAGATGTTCCTCGATGCAGTTATCCGTCAGGCTTCTATCTGCTCATGATAACCCAGGTGGAAGAACTGTAGGTCGTTAGCGCTTCAGAATCTGTCTTTCCCTTTGCCGAATATGACAGAAATGAAGCTACTTTTCCACCCCAGTGGGAGCGTTTATTCATCTTAAGGCTGCTAAAAAATGCAATGTAATTACGCATACGGAAGAATGCCGTCGCATTCTGAGCATCTTCCTGCACGGATTTATGAGGGTTTCCGGGGGCTGTACCAGGAGCTACTGAAGTTCATGTAACTATTCCGCATTTTGATAACACTGGAGGCTCTCAGACCGTTGGCGGGTTATTTGAGGTACAGTGATGATAAGCTGTGTCTAGTAGGTTCCTAAAGTTTCAGAGGTCACCGGTCCAGTCCGACTCGGACCTTTAAGAATACCTCTTTGGCTGGGAGATTTTCTGCTCCCCAATACTCTTTATAGGTTCTTGAAGTCTGACCCGAACATGTGGACAAGTTTTATTCGGGACGACCTCCTGAACTATATCACTTTGTCTTCAGTTAGATTCATAGGGCCATATATCGTCTACGATTTGGCTTTTTACCGACAGCCTACGCTCGCATCGCGAGTGTTACTTGGCTTTCAAGAAGCAACTTTTGTCTTCTCTGATCCACTAGATCCAGTTTTTATGTGCTACCACCATTAAGCAGATATTTCCGGGAATCGTCCTTCTACCAATTTGTCCCAATAGTCCCCACTGCAGAGCAGTGGCCTGTGAATGACTCCCTTAAAGCTATGAGGCCGCTGATATATACTGGTTCACCACTTCATAGTTTACTTTGACGTAGCAGTGAAAGTGGCAAGGGCGCTCCCAAAGGAGTTGTTTGCTTATTGCCGAATTAAACACTTTCGTAGCGCGATCGCTGCCCCTAATGGTATTTTAAACCCAAACTTTCTCTACCAACGGGCGATCGCTGATGGAAAGATAGTTCGGTCCCGAAGGCGTTTCGCGCTGGCCTTAGCTATAGTCTTCACCGATCTTCCCATCGCAGGGCTACATTTTTGATGGCAAACACCAAGTTGCGATCGAAGGTCCCACTCAATTCGGTGCCGTCCTGCCCTAGGTTGAAACTGCGGGGTTGAACTCTCGCCGCTACGGTAGTACCCCATTGCTGACACCGTGAACATTACTTAGAGCTGCTGTTGCCTGTGCGCCACGTTGCTGGTGGTTTCCAAAGGCAGAAGACTCATTGGTCTTCTACATAGAAACATACACCTGAGGCAAAACTTATACTGTACAAGTTTATAGTTCACCCAATATTAGAGTGCTGCACGGTTATCTATGGTAGCATGAAAGTATCGGACAGAATTTGAGTACAGAACATTCAACGAAACTTTACTCGGCGCCTACTGATACATAAAGAAGGACTTGCATACGAAGCAAGATGCAAAAAACTAAAACTAGAACCATTCTGGCAGAGACGCCTGAAGCTCAACCTAACATTTTTTTTCCGCCTCTTATTTGGATGCTATAAAAAGAAATTGTGCTATCACTTTCAAACCAACACAGGCACATAATCTGTGTAATAGCGAGTACACCATCCCAATAAATAAGCATAGCTCAAAACTTCGATGTAGGTTTTTCATAACTCAATACAGTATGCTGTGGAACAAACTTCCCGCTCCTATACGAGCATGTCGTTCTCTCGGCCAGTTTCGACGATTACTAAGAGAATTCCTTTTATCTAACGAATCTCATCAATTCGTTGACGGCCAAATTACAAACGGTATTACCATGTACAATGGTGCTACTGGTACCTAGACTCATGGGAGTCTAACAGCAATAACAAAAGTATACAATGCCGAAAACTAAACTCATTACTTAAGTTAAAATCTAATTTCTTTAAAAAGAGTTACCGAGAGGGGACATGAAGCGGAGTGCGATACGAAATGCAACAGTGAACTCGGTAGTTACTCTAATGTAACCTACATTTCTTCATAACCTAGCTGATCTCACGACTTAACATCTATTTCCTAAAATTCGTCCCTTGAAATAATCTCTCTACTCCGAAAAGATAAAAGAACTGTCTATCGGTGCATTTTCATAGCATGTAACAGGTTTTATTATTTGCCCTTTTTTATCAGTACTTACATGTAAGTACTGTGTACCACTATATTGTTTCGGTAGCCCCGATATGGTAATACTCAACAGGCAACACCATGATCATCCCCCCCTCCACGACCAGATAAAGGGTGGTTACCGTCTTAGAAAAAACCATGAGTTTCACTAAAGTGTTTATAACTTCATCAAACGCTTGTACATAGGTATATAACAAGTCAATACCTGGTCCAAAATCCTCTAATCTCCCTATTTCGTAGTGATATCTTCGGCTTCAGACTGATTTTCATTACTGTCGTGCACACCTTCATCTTTTTCCACCTAAGCTTACCTCTAAACAGTTGGTTCCGGATACTTCTGGAAGTAAGATTTGCAGTCGGTACAAACTCACCCAGATGCATCATGGTTGGCCTACTCCTGAGTATTTTTGTGCTCCTGTTTCGACTTTCGTCTGCTGATCGCTTTTGTTATCCACTTTTCAGGTTTACTTGACCAGTCCTGCACTCAAATGGAATCCTAGAAATCACTTTTGTTGTTGGGAACCTTGCCATCAAAACCTTTTGACAGACGCGCGCACCCCGAGGTCATGACTGTACTGCCTGCCCCACCTTCAAGAATATTGGAATATTCAAACAATAACCGAATAATCCCTAAATTCGAATTGAGCCTGCTTCAACACATTTCTTATATGCCATGAATAATGGTATCTAATGTACAGCTTAACATTGCACATAATAGTCATTTCTCATTACCAAAATGATCAAACCTGTAAACTGGTTTGTATTCATTCAACCTTTGTTGCATGAAATATATTATTATTGTTGTCTTTATTATTATGCGTAGGAAGATAGTCGATAGCTGTCTCAACAGGCACGAGGTATGCCTGACCTTTGGGCTGCGATTAGCCGAGTTTCGAAG